CTTTCCTTTTATCGAGTCGTTTAGATTTAGAAGGTTTAGCCTTGAGTTAAGATCAAGCAGAACTTTAATTAAAGGCTTACCTTGTGAAGACGTCGAATATACGTTGTGAGGACACAGAGTAAAATTTACTGCTTTATTGATATAATACAGAGTTGATCAGCAGGATTATTGAAGAATAACGAGTAGAAAATCGCTTGACCCTAAGTCAAAAGCTGTTGTAAGTAAGAATACTATGGAAGAGCACTAGTCCAGGAAAATCTTTTTACAAAAGGGTTATGTGCATAAAGAAGTAGGAGTGGTTTACATAAAACGTTAAAAAAGGGGTATTCATTTAGATACAAAGGTAACTGTAAAGATGTGTATTTTCGTTAGACAAAGATAACAAAGAAACGTATGGGAGATAATTTTGAAGAATGTAATTTGGTGAATAATGCAATGATGAATCATTAGAAATATTCTAAGCATTTAATGTATAAATTCTTTCGGTTTTTCCGAGCTTATCCAGCTTGCGAAAAAGAGTAGTACCGTTGTAAAAGCCAAGTATTATTGGACCAGTGAAATCTAATCTGATCACTCAGTGATTCACGTATATAAAAAGTGCCAATATAAATGATAACTACTCCGTCCTATATGCGGTAGTGAAATGAAAGACCCTAACACTACCCGAATAAGAACGGAAGAAGGCACAATTCCATTGATCGCAAATTGCTATTCATCCCGGGGGATGAATGGGCCGTTCCCGGAGGTAGGTGCAATACCGGGTCGACCCGCGGTAGGTGAGGAGCAAGCCCCTTCAAACCCACCATGGTCTCAAAAATAGAATAATCTCGAAGTGGTCGATAGACCACATATCAGAGATTAAGCTGATAAGAACAGATACTACACTTTGATCTTAGCCAATAGGCCGAGAAGCGATACTGCACCAGCTGCACTGCTGACTAATATTCTAAACTGCAGCAAACTACGGATGGGTTGTACATACTCATTTTATCAGTTATATAAAGAGCATTCTCTTCTATTACTTGCATTGACATGAAGAGTAAAGGGAAAATACTAATTGCAGTGAGTCGAAGATCGAGACACAGAAAGAAACAGAGAGGGAAAAAAATAGCAAAAGGACCAATTGTGTTGAAGAAGGAGAGAGAGAAAAAAGAAGGAAGAGAAAGATCAGCTGCGCTTAGTAGTTAATCTAATGTCCAGTATTAATAACCCACAACTTGACAAATGAAACTACTCAACCGTATCGCAACTGAGAGAATTCTTCTCTGTTCGTCTATCTCACCCAATTGAACCACTACATAATTCGTGCGGAATCGTGTATAACAATGATCCAGCGAAAGAGTTAGTGTCTTGCTCTCCTGCATTTGACCGTGAAAATCTTTCGCCTTTTACTAAAGATTTCCGTGCAGGAGAGTATTCATGATTGT